GGGGGGGCCATCAGGAATGAGAGGAGAGGTTGGATGGGGCAGCGGAGGGCAGTCAGGGCGGGGGAACAGAGGGGTTTCGGTCAGGGGACAGAGAACAGGCGGGGTTGGATGGGGCAGGAGTCTGGGGGCAGCTGTTAGGGGCTGGGGCCGGGCGACGACCCCCTCCCCTAACCGGCCCTCCATACAATTTCCAAAACCCGATGCGGCCCTCAGGTCAAAAAGTTTGCCCGCCCCGTACTATACCATACTCTTAGGGTTGCAGTCCATAATATTAATTATCCTTTTATCTGATAGAGGCCAGAACTGGATACTTTAGAGGAAGTGCAAGAAACCCTGTAGTGAATGGTTATGGAATAATCTGGCCGTGGGAGGTGGGAGTTTCCTCCTAACCTGTAGTTAAAGGTTAGTTTCTACCCTCAAACATGAGAATGTAGGTCCTTTCTAGTTCGTATGAAAATCCTATGTAATGTCACTCTGGATGCTTTCATTAGACATTTATATAGATAAGACCATGTCTGCACTACAAAATTTGGCTGACTCAAGCTACTTCGACATAAAGCTATTGTATATTTTATACGCTCATATGTGTGCATATTTGGCTCTTTGCGTCTGTACTGCGTGTATTCACAAGGAGTGCTTGTGTTGATGCATAGTGTGGTGCACCATGGTTAGGAATCCCAGGGTGCAACTTGCCACTGTCCAGCACACTGTCTTTTGGCATGTTTTGGCAATGCATGGTGGAGCAGAAACGAGTTGTGCAGGGGTGACTGGAAACAATGGATGAAGTTCCCAGCATGCAACTGTCTCCATCTCATAATGTCATCCATATACCATAATTTGAGTCTTTAAAAATCGTGCAAACCTGTGCATCCCTTCTCGCTCTCTGCCATCTGACAGAAGATGCACTGCTCAGCACAGTTGTCATGAATGTTGCAAACACAGGATGCACAGTCTTCTGCTATTGTATTTGCAGAGCTTCAAGAACAACTGCATCATTGGGGAACATGATGATTTCGTGGAGGACAGATTGCTGTGGGAAATAGCGAGAACCAATTCAGGGTTATTGGTAGCATTCACAGAGCAGCTGCAAATGGTGAAGCACCACTCTGGGCCTGAGAAATGAGCACTTACTGGTGGGATTGCCTCATAATGCAGGTTTGGGACGAGAGCAGTGACTGCAGAATTTTCAGATGTGCAAGGCCACGTTCCTGGATCTGTATGCCAACCTTACCCCAACCCTCCAGCTCATAGACACCAGAATGACAGCTGCACTGACTGTGGAGAAATGGTGGTGACTGCACTGTGGAAACTCGCAACACCAGATTGATTTCCCACTCACTGGTAGCATTTTGGAGTTGGAAAATCCACTGGGCTATTGTCAGACAAGTGTGCAGGACCATTAATTGTCTCCTAGAGATGCAGGACCGTGACTCTTAGCAACATGCGTGACATAGTGGATGGATTTTCAGCAATGGAGTTCCCAAACTGCAGTGGAGTGGTAGTATGAATATCCTTATTTTGGCACCAGCCCACCTTGCCCCAGAGTATTTCAATGGAAAGAGCTACTTTTCCATGGTTATGCAAGCGTTGGTGGATTACTGGGGATGCTTCACTAACATCAGTCTTGGCTGGTAAAGGAAGGGTATGATGCTTGTCTCCTTAAGAACACAGGACTGTTCAGAAAGCTGCAAGCAGGGACTTTCTTTCATGGCTGGCGGATTACCATTGGTGGTGGTGATGAGTAGTGATTCTCGGGGGACTCAGCCTACTCCTTGCTCCCGTGGCCCATGAAGCAATGTACCAGCCACCTCAACAGCACCAAGACAAAGATTCAACTACATTTATAACTATTACACTGAATTTCTGTGTTTATTACACTATGAGTTCTGTCACACTATACAAGAACAAGTAAGTGGGTACTTTCAGTACCGCGAGACATTCTGCAGCATATATTGTGAATTAATAAAGATAAATTATTTCTTGGGGAATAGAATTTTGAGTAACAGAACCAGCGCATAGAAAAATCTCTGCAATTTAAAAACAAATGCATTAAAAACTTAAGATCTGTTCCATTAATTTATTAACAAGGGGAAAGAACATTTATGTCCATTATAATTACACATACAGGAACTGTGGCTCTCACAGGTCAGTGTATGTGAAGCTGTGGTTTTACTTACGGTCCCCTGGTGTGTGGAGTGGTAGCGGTAGCCGCTGCTGCCGTATGGAATGTTGAGGTGAATATATGGAGTTGCTGTACTGGAGTTCTCCATGGACTGCAAAGGGAGGCGAGCCTGTGATTGTTGAATCTCTAGGCCCACAAGAGTCTGCAGCATCTGTATTTGCTGAAAGTGAAGCCCCATTATATCCTGATGCATCTCCCTCTGCTTTTCCTGATGGGCCTCCTGAGTCTGTCTCTTGTCTGCTCTTTCCTTCTCCAGTCTGAAATACTCACCTTCCAGCCTGGTGCAGCACTGCCTTGCAGGATCTCGCTGAACATGTTATCTGGAGTCCGCTTCTTTTTTCTCCTTGTCTGGCTCAGGCGTTTCGCAGATATGGAGGGGGAACTCCTCATGGCCATAACAGCAGCAGCTACAGATAAAAACAGAAGTACCATTGTTAGTATAGTAACAATGAAAAGCAAAAGTTAAGGTACAGAACTCCCTTCCTTTGTTCTCCTAAAGTTTTACATAAAACATGCTTGTTGACACTTCAGCTTCAGAGAGCTTTTGTGCAGTACCGCTCACAGCACCAGCCAGGGTGAGGATGGCCTTCAAGGGATGAGGAAAATGAGGAAGGCGTTGCTCAGTTGCATGAAATAGAGTATAGGGCTATGGCACTGAATGCTGGCACCGTTTCCCACAAGTGGTAATTTTTAACTGTTATCCTGAGGGTAACAAAGGCAGAGAGATCACAGCTGCTGCTGGCATCCTGAAGCTGCCCGGGGCTGTATGCTGCTAGGCTGATAACTTTGGCAGGCATAATTGCAGCAATTGCTGACTGGCATAGGGAAGTGTCTTGCTGCAGAGGAAGAAATAAGGCTGTCATCACTAGAAACCTTGGGGAGAGGATTGCAGAGTACCGCCACAAAAGTTTCAACCAATTTTCTCAGGAGGATTCAAAGGACATCCCTGTGTACGTAAATAAACTGCTCCTCATCTAACTCTACTGGGGAATGAAAAGCAGATAACAATGCTTTCTCTTTGTTATACCATTACTTCTTCTAGTCTGAGTAAATTAATGAAAAATTGATAACTGTGTATCAGTGTAATGGGAAATACATTTATACACTTACCTGGGGTTCCTTCCCCTGCATCAGGTTTGTCCATGCTTGACTGCCAGGACTGATTCTGCAGTGGAGTCTCAAACAGGTCCTGGCTTGCGGCATAGCTGGATCCCCTGGTCAGATGACCCCTATCCTCATCCTTGCTGTTTGCACTGGGGCCTGTGGCTCAGGCTCCTCAGAAGTATCCATGGTGGTGGAGATTCCACCGAATATGGCAAGTAGTTCTTTGTCAAAGTGGCAGGTCTGTGACTTGGCATTGAATTGACCATTGGGTCCCTGGCCATCTTATATACCTATCAGAGTTCCTTCACTTTGCAGCAGTGCTAGTGATTCTTGTTGTATCCCTTCTCCTGCATCCCCATGCAATCTACTCATAGATGTACACATTTCTGTGGCTGGCCCATAACTGTGCCTGCATAGCCTCGTCTCCCCACTGGCCCAGGAGATCCAATATCTCCTGTCTGCAACAGGCCAGAGCATGTAGCTGTCATGGTTGGTTGGGCAGCTGCATACAACAGAGAGCTGCTAGGTGTGCTTGAAAAGGCATTTAAAAAATTCGTCAGTTTTTAAATGAGGGAAGTGTTCCAGTTGTTGTACCCCTGCGCAATGGTGTTCACAATTCTGACCAGAGCAGTCGGTGCTGGGAATTGTGGGACTAGCTGCTGGAGGACTGCTAGGGTTGACATAGGTAATTCAATGTCTACCCTCTCACTACGTCAACCTCAGAACATCAATCATTGCTCTCTGCCATTCGGGGAGATGGTTTATTGGATCACGACAGGGTACGTGCATTGATGGGAGACAGATTTAAGTGTAGACACATGCACAGGTAGGTCAGTGCAAGTCAGCTTACATCAACCTAACTTTGTAGTGTTAATTTTT